CTCCAAGTACTGCTGTTTGATCATATTGGCACTGTGTTTTGATTGATGAATTGAATGGTTTTCGGATTGATGCATGACCGCTTGATTTTGACTAGGACAACCTATGATGAGGACTGAGACGTGCAGTAGAATTATGTAGGGGTTCAGTTTTTCAACTGTTTGCTTACCAACTGTGACTTGATTTGATCACTTGTTTTTGACAGTCGTTTATGCATCTAGCTCAGGGTATCAGAATGTGGGATAGAGCATATAGGTAGCCATGTGAGATTTGAGCTTGCTCGTTTCTTTCTTGTGCGATAGATCCCTCTTCCATGATGTGTAGCATTCACGTTATCACTAGCTAAGATGATGGGGGTATAGGATTAGCCCACGATCAAAATTGACTGTCCTGATGTGTCATATCCCCTAGTCAGCCCTTTGAGCCGTGTGTTATCCTTTCTTTTGGTCTATAATGAAAAAATCACCCTTGTTGCACCTTTTAGAAGGTTCCACAGAGTGATTTTTACATATTCTCTGTTGTTTCTGCTAAATTGAATGTGAGTGTTGGAGGTAGTGCTTAAAAGTTGGGCAGATGTTTGAAATATGCGCTGAAGTGGTGGCTCTCTTAAGAAATGAAAAGAAAATGAAAGAAAAAAACAAAGAAAAATTGAAAGCAAAAGAGAGCCACTACCAAAAATCTGAATAATGCCCATTAAGTAGTGTTTCTTAGCAGTCTGGCTTGGAAATGCTGACATTTATACCTCCTTCGCTCTTGTGCTCTTGAGATATTGAGTAATGCAGAATAGCAGAAAGGAAATACCGGTTTGTTTGACTGTGATTGTGTGGGTTTGGAAATGTGGAACCTTGTGCTATGAATACTTCCACCACCTAAAATGCCTTTTCCCCATGTCCAAGACCCGAGCCAGTCATTTGAACCTGTGTCTAAGACCTCCTGATTAGTTAGTGATGACACCCATATGTGAACTCTAGCATTTAGAGGCTGCCATCATGGTGAAGAGATGTAGGGATTGAGAGAAATAGCATGCGCATTTTTCGCATCAAATCGTCCTGACCCCACTGGTCGAGAGTGAGTGATTCATTTTCATATTCTTTATACTCTTGTACCCCGGTGAGGACCTAGATTGCTCGGTCTCTGTTCTGATGTCTTGAGTTGGATGCATGAGTTGACTGTTTTGAGTGAGTGGTTGAGTCAAGTCTAGGTTGGTTGGTGAACAGAAGGGAGACTCTTTCTTTACTCTTTGCTGCACTCGAATGTCCTTTGTGGTGGTTGTCCAGGTTTATTGAGGTTGTTCATGTGTTAATGTTTGAAAACCAGTACGATTCACGTGTTCTGTGCCTTTATGACTTGTCCCCAATGTTGGTTGATTGAAATATGTAAGCTTACCTGGTGTCTGACTTGGTTTGCTTGGGGACAAGCAAACGGTTAAGTGTGGGGGAGTTTGATAGACCGTTATTTACACATGTTTTTACCCCTGTTCTTACATCGTTTGAGGTGTTGATTCTCGTGTTTTAGGCCGATTTCACGCTAGGTTGTGCTTGTTTGTGATATTTCAGGTCCTAGTACGTGAATGGAGGCTTGCGAGCGAGTTTGGGGTCGATTGGACGAAGATCGAACGCATGGCGAGGTTCTAAGGAAGCCGCACGGGCAGCCCTGGGTATCACACGGCCGTGCAAGTTGCATTGTGGCCGTGTGATTTTGCCGAGGCCAAGCACGGGCATCCCAGGAAATTCACACGGCCGTGCAACCCTGGCCGTGTGAGATGGCTGAAGATCGACTTAATGGTACGCTGCGTTTCGACTCGCACGTGCGAAGTGGTGAGCCACACGGCCGTGTGGCCTGCCCGTGTGAGTCGGGAAATCTTGGTTTTTCAGCCAATTTCGAGCCAAAAGTGGAGGAATCGGATTTTCAGAGAAAAACAGAGCCCTAGAGAGAGAAAGTACGAAGAACACATCCTAGAAGCTATCTTGGAGCTGGGTTTCGTCAAATCGAGCTTGGAGATCGTCATAGGAGTGGAAATCATCATCCCGGAGCAGATTTTCCTCATCATTATGAGTATGACTACTCCGATTACTGTTTTCTCTCTCTCTCTATGGAGTAGAACCCTTCTCTCACTTGGGTATGAAGAACCCTAGTTCCTGTGTTAGGGATTTGATTGTAATGACTTGGGATGATTATACTGTTTGATTTAATCGAATGAGGCATGTTTATTGAATTGTTTGAAGTCTGATCAGCTTTTCTCGATTTCTGCTACAACCTGAGATAGATAGAATCTGATTAGGTTGTTAGAGCCTCTTCATTCGATAGTAGGAGATTGGCTATACGAGAGTTTGCCAGTTTACTGCTTTGTACTGGAATTCAATTCCAGTAGTGGAGTTCTGTGCTTATTGCTTCAGCTTTCTATCCCGGTGAAGACTAGTCGTCTTCCGAGTAGTTGGACTGAGAGGGCTTGGTCAGCTTAAGAGATTCCAAGCTACTGTCGGATCTTCCGCAGTCGAATCTACAGTAAATCAACCCAGAGTAATTACAATTGAACCTAACTAAGGAGCTAGGGGGACTCATTCCCGAGTGACTCTTTCCTGCTTTTGAAAACCGAATAATTTCCTTGCTTTCTTACTGCTTTTGCTTTAAACAACAATCACTCGAATTAGTTTGCTAGATAATAAATCATCACGGAGTAAGCAGTAGATCTAGCCCCCGGGTTGATAATAGAACTTGCCTGTTACTCCATTCCCGGACTGCGATTACACTTGGTCGCAGTTTGGTGTTGTGTTTTGGCGTGTCACATACCGAGCTTGGGAGGAAGATGAGAAACCCCTAATCGACAGGCGGTGGAAAGGGACGATGCGCCGCCCCAACTCAGCGATTCCTGCTCCAGCTTCGAGATTCTCATTGCCTGCCTCTGGAAGTGTTGAATCGTCGCCAACTAACCCGACCCCAAAGAGGAGATGCGCGCGCTAGGGGTTCAGCCGCCGCTGCCGATGGGTACTACGGCAACGCGTTCGCGTTTTCAGCGATAGTGGCGACCGTTTGAGACCTTTGCCGGAACTCGCTCGGGTTCGCCTTGGATCTCGTGAGGAAGGAAAAGAATGACGTCACGGAGGAGTACATGAGGTCGGTGGCGAATCCCTCTATTTGGATCCCTATTCCTCCCCGTCCTTCGCCGCCAGCAGGAGGCAGTAGTCAGGCCGCTTCCTCCTCCGACGTCACTTGCCTTCTCTCTTCCTGCTCTGTCGATTGGGATTTCTTTTCCTTTATTAATTAATTTTGGTTTTCAACCAAAGTTTAGGAACTCAACGTGGAGATAAACCAATTTCCTTAGCAATTGACAATTGAGCCATAAGCCCACTCGGTGATCTCGTTCCTTACAACCCTCCATCATAGTGGCAGGGTGCGTGAATGGCCCAGGCCCCCAACGACCATGAATCCCGTCGCCGAAGAGACAGGTGAACAATCTGACGAAGCTGCGGTCAGGGCAGGGAAGTGGGAGAAGCAGGTTGGTCGGAGAGGTGGGACCGGGAAGGGGATTTTGTGGAACTGGGCTTTGAAAGAGGCAGAGAAGGACGATGGAGATTGGAATGCGGCGGAGTTGTATTGGTAATTGCGGGTTTGGAGTCGGTTTATAGGTCGAGCCGGTTTAATTGCTGGGTTGGTAGAACTTGACATGACAAATTTTAGTGACGTGGCGTTTATGTTAGATTGACAGAGCACTTTCGTTTGCCACGTCAGTACTTAACAGACTTCATGAACAGAGTTGGACAGAGACTAACGGAGACTGTTAAACTAATCTTAGTGACAATTATTGAAATTAAATATTTTTAGTGCCCAAACGTGAACGTTTTTTGTAATCTCAGTAACCAAACTTGCAATTTACCCGCCTAAAAACTAAGGGGTCGTTTGGAGAATGAGAGTATGAATCTAGAGATTTTAATGAATCTTGAGATTTTAACTCCTGAGATTGTATGGATATGATTCTAAAAAGTTCAGTGTTTGGTAATTGTGATTAGTAAAAATATAATATCTAAATTTCAGTTAAATGACTCACTTGCCCTCAACAAAGAAGGCGGCAAAATCAAAGTAAAACCCAATTTCAGTTTCTAACTAACACATGGTGCAACACATAACATCCTCACTTAACAACCTTCTCTGTTCGTCACTCATGCTAAGCAACTCACCATTGGTTGCTGCATATATCATAAATTCAGAATACAACCTGCAAACACAATATCAAACATGTATAGAGGGGGAAAATGCAGCCAAGGCACAAGAAATAAAAGAAAATCTCCTATAAACAGTAGGTAATGAATCAAGCTGTTATGTTCGAAAATCACAGCAACAAAATATGATCCAAATTAAGTTTCAAAATATGATCCAACAAGCTAGAATTCTGTCTTCTAGTCTGCAGGTTGCAAATATCACGAAAACTACTACTTTCAGCCCATTTATACCAGCTGCCGCAACCAAAGTAGACACCACAGTACGTTCATAACGTGGCTCTCTTCAGTTGATGAGTTGCAAGAGAAAGCTCAATTGATCTTCTGTTGGAAGTTGGTAATAAAGACCAGCAAGACTAGCATCCTTCACTAGTACCATTGCAGCTTGTAAAACTTGATTTCTGGTAAGGCCCTCGTTGGGCAGAGAAGGAGAGTGGACATAATATTTTTCTGGTTTGAAATAGAAGAGAGGAAGGGAAGGCTGCACGCGTGAAAAAAAGAAAGGAAAGGGCTGGATATCATAAAAGGAAGAGAGGGATAATGTTGGGAAAGTTGTTTCGATTAATTATTGATTTAAATATCTCTAATTTTTAGAGGAGTTTGATATCTCTATTTTTAGAGATTTTAAAATCCCAAAACTTAAATCTAGATATACTAATTGTGGCAGAAAAACAAGATTTTTTAAAAAATCTCTAGATTCAATAAATCCATATCATAAATCATGTTTTCCAAACGACCCCTAAAACTAAAGATAAAATCTCCATCCGATCAGGCAGACGACGCAAGTTTTTCTTACCATCCGACGGTCTGTATCAGACCGCTGCATCAGCTACCAGCATCGCAGTCGCAGAAACTAAAAACCCCCTCCAACCCCATCCGTTCTCTATTTTTTCCTGCGTTTTGGCGTCACTGAATGCAAACCGCGGAAATAGCACGAATGGAAACACAAAACTGATTTGCAGAAACAAGAGAAGAGGGCAAAACCACCAGCTCGAAGCTTCTCCAACCTCGAGAAGCCGAACCCGTAGCTACAGCCAAGAGCTCACAGTGCGCCGCATTCTGTACTCAGCTTCTGGTGAGTTCTTCTTAGCCACAGCGTGTCTCTTCTCGCTTCCTCTCATCTTTAGGGTTTAGTTCCCGAGGGTTCGTCGCAATTAGGGTTTTGGAATTGGCATCGTTGAGTGTCTTCAATCGAATTAGCGCATTCCGCCAGGCTTTTGAATTGCTGCTTCTCTTGCACTGCTTGGCGCGAGCGAGGTGGCATTATTGGCTAATTAGGCTCTCTCTGAAAGGAGTTGTGGTGAGGAACGGGCGGCCTTATAGCTGTTCTCTCGACTCCCTCAACCTTCGGTTTTGCTGTAATGCCCAGTTTGTGAGTTTCGTAGGGTCAGAATCATTTGACTGTTTTTTTTTAGTAATGTATTGTTGTTCTCCAGAAATATTACTGTTTTTTTTTTTTTTTGCAGCTCACCATCGGTAAACTTTCTAGAGAATATTAGTGTTCTAGTTTAAGCTTATTTGTCTGGTTCCCTTGATTTGATATACTTTTTTTTTGGTTTCTGCTTTGAAGAGAAGACGTAAATCAAGTATGGGTGACAGTGAGACAGCAGTTGCCTCTGAGTCCTCTACAGTTACTGAATATGCCTCTGCTGGTTATAGCAATGCGATTCCGAACCTTAGTGCTTTCGCTTCTGAAACTGGTGAAGGAGGCTATGGAGCTCCTGCAGCTGCAGCAGAAACGGGTTACAGTATGCCAACTGGTGTGAGTGCAGCAGCTGATGGAAGTACGTATTGTGTGGATCCTAATTCATCTGCACCTGCTCCCCAGCCTTCTAGTTATTCATCTGCTAATGGAAATATAGGTGGTGAAGGGAAACCTCTAGCATCAGTTGAGAATGGCAGTTCTGCAGATGATATGGGTGCTGAAGCTACTAAGCAACAGTCACTGGATGGTTCTGGTATGAGTTCTATGGCATGCTGCCTCCTACATCTCTATGTTGCTAGATTCTTTCAACTTCTGGTTTGCGATTTGTGTAATTTCCTAACATCTTAACCAACTTGTTTGAAATATTGAGACTGGAAGAGTTCGTTCATTCTCTAAATGAAAGTTCTCTTTCATAAGCAAGAAGCAAGCTGTTCAATAAATGTAGGAGTTATCATCTTTGAGCTGTATAGGTTGAAACCTAGTTTGATATTTGCGGAGTAGAGGTTTTGATGTGTTTGGCAATTGATGGATATGCCAACGAAAGTCATACGTTGGTGGATGCACAATGAATGTGAGCAGCTTGGCCGTGTGAAAAGTATGTTTATGCCTACAATATTGGGTATGACATAGGTGGATATATTTGTTTTCTGCTTGCATTTATGCAGTATAGGTCGTTCTCATTCTCTTGTTGTGCTTGTTTCGTTACGAAAATGAAAGCGAGCAGCTTGGCTGTGTGAGAAGTATGTTTATGCCTACAAGATCGGGTATGACATAGGTGGATATATTTGTTTTCTACTGGCATTTATGCAGTATAGGTTGTTCTTGTTCTCTTGTTGTGCTTGTTTTGGTACAAAAATATTTCTTTTAGGTGCCCGGACTCATTCTATTCGTTTTCTTTCTTCAACGGCTATTCTTTACCTAAGACCAGCTGCACTTTTCTAATTATTGGTTGTTAATTAGTTATATATTTGTTCTTCTCTTTGTAGTTCCTGCAACATCACCGGAAGAGGATCGGTTGTGGAACATTGTCAAGGCTAATTCCTTGGATTTTGATGCATGGACTGCATTGATAGATGAAACAGAGAAGGTTGCATGGGTATGTTTTTTCAGTTTTTCTCCCTGTAATTACTTGTTATTCTGTAGTATATTCAGAAGATATATGTTTTTGACTAAATTTGCTAAATAGTCAATACTCTGTTGTTGTATATGCTGTCTATGCTTCCACAATGTATGGAAAAATGGAGTTAACAAAGAATGGATGGCAGAAGCTTGTTTTACAGAAGGCATGCACCTCCTCAAAAGTACTCCCTGCTTGTGGCAACACGTAAATAATAAGACTCAAAAGTTTGATGTTGTTCTCGCAGTTGTTTAAGCTGCTGTAGATGATTGAAATGTGCATTCTTCCAGAACGTAGATGCTATTTCTTTTGAGGGTTTGTCTTTACACGTTGTTTTGGTTGCATTGGTCACTGTTTCCTGTCACGCTGAACATGACGTGCTTGCTGGACTGTTTTCTGTCATATTTTGATTACTGGCCTTATTTTGAGCTGTTCTGCTTACCATTGTACTTTGTCTTTGCTCTTTCTGCAGGACAAGATACTAAAAATAAGAAGAGTGTATGATGCTTTTTTGGCTGAATTTCCATTGTGTTATGGTTATTGGAAAAAGTATGCTGATCATGAGGCACGGCTTGGTGACATGGACAAAGTATTGGAGGTGTACGAGAGGGCTGTTGTTGGGGTGACATATTCAGTGGATATTTGGTTGCATTATTGCACATTCGCCATAAGTACATATGGTGATCCAGAGACTATTAGAAGGTAATATGAGTGGGTTTTACTTGGTGATTGTCGTTTTAGGCTGATCCTGTGAGTGATTTCCTGTGTCATGAGGCTGTAGCATTTTCTTTTTTGACTGTTCTCTAACATGCTTTCAGTCTGCCTGCAACAGTGATCCTCATGTAATGGCGAGTGGTATGATGGGAATGAGAAAAAAAATGCATTTTTGATGTGCAAACCTTGATTATGGGTTTGTGCTATTGGTTTCTGTTTGAAAGTTTCTTAGGTCGTTCATTCTCCCTTCCCCTTTCCCATCCCTTGATACGTTTCCCCCCTTGTTGGAAGGCTTGCGCCGTAGGAAAAAGTAGTTTGTGACCCATGGCTTTCTTAAACATAGACACTATGAAGTGCATCAATATGCAAAATGCTGATGGGAAGATCTCGTCCAGTTAAAAGGACTAAGATGGCCTGATTCAGTGCTACGTTTCAGACATAGTTTGGGTTTTATCGGGAAGGTAAATGCAGCACTTAGAAGTGTCATGAGAGTGAATTGTTTCTTCTGCTTCAATGTTTGTGCAGTGTTCTCATTTATGAATGTATCTGAATTGGCTTTGTTTGACACTTGTGTGATCTTAATGATATTTCGGTTCCTGTTTTGCTGCATGGAACAGGCTTTTTGAACGAGGGTTAACATATGTTGGAACAGATTATTTGTCTTCTCCTCTCTGGGACAAATATATTGAATATGAGGAAATGCATTCGGAGTGGGCCCGGGTTGCTTCAATATACACCAGAATATTGGAGATCCCGAATAGAAGTCTGGACAATTATTTTAACAGGTAAGCTTCTGTAGCCGCTTACATGGTCAAAACTCATTTACTTGATATTCATTGTTTGCTACTTTAGAATTATTCTCTAGGTGGTAAAATTCTTTACTGGGACTTCACTTCTCCTTTATCTTGGTATAAGGTGGATTCGGGTTTTCTGATAGTGTTGACGATGTATGCTGGAAGAAGGATAATATGATACATGTCCCCCCTAGGAATGCAAGGGCATAATTGGTTTCTCTTACTTTCTGGCTTTGTAGATTTAAGGAATTGGTTGGAAGTCGACCTCTTTCGGAATTAAGATCTGCAGAGGAAACTCCGGTTCCTCCGTCTGGTCTTTCGGAGAATGGTGGCCAAGCAAGTGAAGGAGATGTTCATACTGTTGAGCCAGAAGACTCTGTTAAACCTGTAACTGCTGGATTAACAGAAGCTGAGTCGGAGAAGTACATCGCGCTTAGAGAAGAGATGTATAAGAAAGCTAAGGAGTTCGATTCTAAGATCTCTGACTTTGAAAATGCTATCAGGAGGCCCTACTTTCACGTGCGGCCTCTCAATGCTGCAGAGCTTGAAAATTGGCATAATTATTTGGATTTCATGGAAGGACAAGATGATCTGAACAAGGTATTGAAGTTTTGCTCCATCTGTGGTTATCATTTGATATGTAGTTTTTTGTTTTTTTAGCTGTTGTTCTTAATTGACTTACAGCTACGTAGTATCGGCTGCTTCTTATGCTTTATTGGCTAAACCATTGGATGAAGCAACTTTTTAAACGGGAAATTGAACTGAGGCTAAAGCCTGGGGCCTTCGTTTTGGTTTCTATAAGGCTAAGTACTTCAAACCCTCACATTTGTTGGTGGACATTCTAGGTTCATGTATGCGTTAAAATTATTATTTTTCTTAAAACACATATGTTATGAATGCAGGTATCTTCTTGTCTCCTTAACAATGTATCTCAGCATGGAGGGTCCCTCCTTTGGTACTTGAGGGGCCTTTCTCTTTCTTCTGTTCCCCGATGGAGTATTTCTTATGCATAACTCTTTTGTGCTTTGATCCTTTCTGTACCGTGTTTATGCATACAAGTTCCATGGTTTATGATGTTTGGATGTTTATGCTTCAGGTTGTCAAATTATATGAAAGATGCCTAATTGCCTGTGCAAATTATCCCGAGTATTGGACCCGCTATGTCTTGTGCATGGAAGCCTGTGGAAGTATGGATATTGCCGATAACGCTCTTGTTCGTGCTACTCAAGTATTTGTAAAGGTTATTATCCTCAATTATTGCTCAGACTCTTATGTTGGTAATCCTTCGAATGAAACTCTTAAAAGTAGACTTGAATACCTCATGCATGTAGCATTTCATGCTTAATTAGAAGTCAAAATTAGAAATGTAGAAGAGGGAACACTGACCAACCTTTTGAATATTAAATCCATAGATCCCTCAAAATCTGCGAAGTTTCGAAATGAGCTTGTTAACTGACAGATGTTGAGGAGCTTAGATGGTTTTCTCTTTTGGTTTCTTTAAAAGATTTGCACTAAAAAGAACTTGTTGGTTATTTGTACTACCACCTACCTTGTGACTGTCCGACTGTTTTCCATTTCTGTACTCAAAGAAGTTTGATTCTCATGCCTTATCATTGAACAGAGACAACCCGATATTCATCTATTTGCTGCCCGATTTAAAGAGCAGAATGCCGATATACCTGGCGCTCGGGCAGCATACGAACGAGTGCACACTGAGATTGCGCCTGGCCTTTTAGAAGCTATCATTAAGCATGCAAACATGGAACATCGGCTGGTAAGTTTGGATCAAGACAAATGTAACAAAGTGCAGTACCTTTATAAAGATGATACTAAACTGTTGTGGATTTTTGTTGTCCTTTTGCAGGGAAACCTTGAAACTTCATTCTCTTTATATGAACAGGCCATCAGCATTGAAAAAGGGAAAGAGCAGTCCCAGGTGCTGCCAATGTTGTATGCACAGTACTCACGATTTGTGTATTTGGTAAGTTGTACGTTTGTTTGGGTTACATGATCTTCTGTCCTTTTTACGGCATTATGGAAGTTCTTAAACCTGCCAGCCTTGCTTACCGCACACCTCAATCAGGCACTTAGCAGGAACTGAAATTTGTCAAGAGGATGCAGATCTGGATAAATGAAGTCATTATGAACACTGTAGGAATATAATGAAATATTTACCTGCTGGAATAGACTGTGCATATGATTTCTTATCTATGAATAGATAGATAGAGTCATAGAGATATTGAGATATGCTTACTTTAATAAAAAGGATAAAATAATGTTATTAATATGTTTGATTTAGCTAACAGAGATTGATAGTATAATTCCTTTCATGGTGCTGTTCTGTATGGATATTTATTTGGATATAATCTTCTTGTTAGGCTTCTGGAAATGCGGAGAAAGCAAGGGAAATTCTAGCTACAGCCCTGGATCATGTCCAATTTTCCAAACCCCTGCTTGAGGTTTGCTTTCCCAACACTCCTTTTGACTTCTATCTGCGCTTCAAGATTCACTTAAGTATCAGCTGGGTTGTATTATTTATGTAAAAGTTCCCCTTGGACAGAACTTGCGTCATGCTTTGCAGAATTAACTTATGGTTGCCATGTTGTTTAATATACAGGCGCTTATACATCTGGAGTCAATTATGTCCCTTCCAAAACGAATTGACTACTTAGATTCATTGGTGGATAAGTTAATTGCACCGAGTTCTGATAGTACTGCAAGTGCTGCGGAGAGGGAAGAGCTATCATGCATCTTCCTAGAGGTGATGTACTTACTTCCTTGTCTTAATTTTGTCAGCTGGCATAGGTTGAGTCTTGGGTCTGCATTGTGCTCATGTATGTCTCTTCAGTGCAGTTTGTGTAAAATATTCTGACAATTTCCATTGACAAACACCTTTGTGCTGTTCTCTTGGATTTCTCATATTGAAAATTTTCTCCCTACAGTTCTTAAGTGTATTTGGGGATGTACAATCAATCAAGAAAGCTGAAGACCGTCATGCTAAGCTCTTCTTGCCCCATAGGAGCAAATCGGTGTTAAAAAAACGTCTGGCCGAGGATTACTTATCCTCGGATAAGAGCAAAGTGGCAAAATCTTACACCGATTCTGCTTCACCTGCGCAATCTGTGATGGGTGGATACCCAAATGCACAGCAGACCCAGTGGCCAGCTGGTTATGGTGTACAACCTCAAGGTTGGCCTCCAGCTAACCAAGCACAGCCACAGGTTCAACAGTGGGGTCCAGGCTACACTCAACAAGTATGTTTCATCTGTTTGTTCTTGGTGATTTTATATCCCATACTTTTAACGGCTGGAATGATTCGAGCAATAATTTGATCTCAACGCAATAATGCCTGATTCTTCGCCTCCCTATGACGTTGCATCTGGTTATGCTGTCACGTAGCATGCATCAGACTAGCATTCCTTTAAGTTGGTTTGAATGCTGGCATTTGACATGCCATTATCAGTCTCCCGGAATGCTCTCTCAGAAGATTTAACCATTCTTTTTCATTTTTGTTTTCTTGTGTCAGCCTGCCTATGGTGCATATGGAGGGGCGACGTATGGAGGCAGCTACTCGGCTCCACAGGTGCCCGCAGCTGTTGCACCCACTGCTGCATACGGTGCTTATCCTCCTACCTATCCTCCCCAGGTAAAAACAGATCGAAGCAGACCTCCTCATAATATTGTTGTTCTTTAGCTTTGCATCTAACATAATCTCTTGTAATTCTTGGTGGTGTCTCAGCAGCCGCCGCAAGCAGCAGCAGCCACTGCCTTTCCCCAGCAGAGCTATGCTCAACCGGCCGCGGCCGCAGCAGCACCACCGGTTCAGCAGCCAGCTGCAGTTCCACAGCCCTATTATGGGACTTACTACTGAAAGGCTGTTGTCATTGAATTTGATGTAACAGTGCATTCGGCTGGGGTGGAAGGGAGTTTTCGAACTGGGGACTGGGGGGAGTGTGTAGCACAGATACAGAAATAGATGAGACCTAGGAGAGGCGAGAGATGACCAAATCTCATATATCTAGTTGCAGAGTAAGAGTTCGTAGTTGGACGTTGGTACAATGTCACGTGTATTGAATTTCTCTCTTCTGAAAAAAGCTCGGCCTCGTTTTGTTAATGTCACTGTGCTTTGTATTTTTTTTTATATAAAGATGCTACAAATTCGAACCTGAGACCTCCTAAACTTTACTGTGCTTTGTTCCTTGCCTTTGGTTCCGGGTTTATCTAAAAAATAGTGATCAAATTTCCCCACAAGTAGGCAGTCAGTCAGCACTACGAATTAGGATGGATTTAAATTGGGATGGATTCTCTTACGCAGGAGTTTTTTTTTGATTGATTAAAGGCAAACGCTAAACAAACACAGCAGGAGTTAACCCACTATACAAACACAGCTAACGCTAACACCTTGGCACAAAACCTATCCAGAAAACACAAACAGAGAACAAGCCGAGATATGCACCAAAGAAAATCCCACAATCAGTTCTCATCTGCTGGTGTCTGCCTCACCAAACGGGGATGACTAACCCCTATGATATCATCCTGACAAATCCTCTTCAGATCGGTAGGAGTTCATCTAATTCATAAGTACCGAAGGGATAGACGAGACTGTGCTCCGAGAGCCAGTCCGCGGCTCTATGCCCTTCGCGATACGTATGAACCAAACGAACCACCCATTCTTGACCTAGAAGCCGATGAATATTACGCAGGAGTTAAGAGTGGTATTATTATATTTAATGGTATATGAACAATTTCTTTTCTTAATACTACACTTGATCTTAATATATGAACAATTTCTTTCCCTAAACAAAATGAGGTTGTTTTTATGAATTTAAGTAAATAAAATGAGATTTGTCGTATTGTGTTGTATTTTATTTAAATATAAATGATGATATTAGTTTTTGAATTAAAGTATAAATATTTAGATTTCGTCATATTATATTTTTGTTTACATATGAATGGAGATTGTATAGAGATTGCTTTGAAATGTGTTATATATATATATTTGAGATGTTATTAGTTTTTTACTTTTTTATATATTTTGTTAAAATCGACATAAACTAGAGTTATATCAGTTATATCACCTATCGAATCATGCCACTTACTAAATTGACGTGATAGTACAAACCATTTCTGCAACATTCATATAGAACCGTACTATGGTTGGCTGTCGGTGGATTGAATTAGGTAGATGAATAGGGAGAGGAACTACACCTCATTTTGAGTTACATTGCTATTTTGACAAATGTCAAATGGAATTGAAGTTAGGTAGGGTTCCCCTTTTGGGGCTGTGACCTCCGAAAGTTGAAAGGGGACCTAGATTTTGGTACAGAACCATATCTGTCAAGTGACGCGGCAGCCGCAGCAGTACTAATCCGACGTGGCGCAATACTGTCGGGTGAGTCAACTCCCCAGGATGATACTGTCTTTGCTGACTCAACTGGCCGGATTCCACTTACGTTCGCATTACCGTTACGGCGTCAGCCAGCCGTCCGTCGCCGTGTGATCTGCTGCGGTCGCGCGTAGGGAGTACTCCCTGCGCAATTACCAAATCAGAACGGTGCAGAATAGCAAAGGAGCGGCTTTGGGATTTTTAGGGGGGAAAAAGGAAGCAAAGCAAAGCTCCCTCTCTTTCTTTCTCGCTTCGCATCACTCTTTCTCAACTCTCTCTTTTTGGGACCTGGTGAAGACTGAAAAAGCGTCAGCTCTCTTTCTCTCTTCTCTCTTCTCTCTTCTCTCTTCTCTCTGTGGGTTTGCCGCTTAGATCTGATCTCTCCTCTTTCCCCGTACCCCCCGTCGGCCGTGTTCCTTCTCTCCGCCACCAACCGCCGCCGAGAATAAGCTTACTCGCCGGCTCCGTTCGTCTCGTCTGTCTGTCGTTTGTTCGTTATTTTTTTATTTCTCCCTTGTCCAAAACTCCTCGCGCGGCTACGTATATATAAATACGTAACGCAATAAACCCTAAAAATCTCGGAAGAGGGTTTTCTGGTTTGACGGGCGCCGCAACTCTACCTTATCTCTCCATTTCCTCCCGATCTGCCTAGCGACTTCATAGCGCGGGATTTTTTTTGTTCGGATTCTTGCTTTTGTTGGTGGAGAGCAGAAGCAGCCACTCTTAGCTATGGCCGCTCCGTATCCGGGACCCGTCTCTGCTATTCAGGTGATTTTGATTTCTCTCTGCATTTGATATATACGAATATAGATGGATTCGAGTTGAATGGTTATTGCGAGTGCTTGCTGGTTTGGTAATGGTGATTGGGATCTCATTCTGACTCTGTTGTGGCCATCTGTTTTCTCCCTTCTCAGGTGGGGTCGTACTTTGTTGGTCAGTACTACCAAGTGCTTCAGCAGAAGCCTGATCTTGTTTTTCAGTTCTACTCCGAAGCCAGCACCATGATCCGAGTTGAGGGAGATGACAGTGAAACTGCCTCGAATGTGCTGGTACTTCCCTCTTCCTCATTATCTCACGCTGCCCGGCTTCACGACAATATAGCACACTCTAATGGCGGTGACCCACTATCCCCAGTCAGGGATTGAAGCTGTTTGGTCACTTGTCTTTCTTTAGCTGCCCTGTAGTGTCAATTGATGATTTGTTTTCTTCGTTATCTAATATTAGTACTTGGTATATATTCTGAATCTCTTGGTGCTTATTGTATATGGCTGGTGTGTGGTATAGTTGCGGGGACCCTGTTCCTTTTTGCTGCCAATATTAATATTTACGAAGTTCTTGTTTTGTTTTGTTTTGTTTTACTTTACTTTGCAGCATATCCATAATATTATCACGTCTTTGAATTTCACCGCTATTGAGATCAAGACCATCAATTCTATCGAATCATGGAATGGAGGTGTTATGGTGATGGTTTCTGGCTCTGTCAAAACCAAGGAATTCAGTGGCAGGAAGAAGTTTGTGCAGACCTTTTTCCTGGCTCCTCAGGAGAAGGGTTATTTCGTTCTCAATGATATTTTCCAGTTCATTGATAGTGAGATCATCTACCAGCACCATCCTGTTTCTACTGCATCGGAAAACATCTACCAACAGCACTCAGCTCCTAGCACCGCTGAACACATCTATCAGCAGCACTCAGCCCCTACTACAACCGATCCCATCTACCACCAGCATCCTGATCCAGTGACTTCTGAGTCAATTTATCAGCAACACATATCAGAGGAACATTTTGATGCCCATCAAAATGCTTCTGCTAGTCTCCCTGAGCCTCCAGGTAATGTGTTATTATACCTCGAAGCAAGTTAGATGAATTTCTTTTTTCTGGATATAAAGAGAGTATGGAATATGAAGTCTTCACAAGGTGTTCTTTTTCTGTTATATGCATCGATGGTTTGTTTGTTTTTCTATTGTGATGTATTTGAATAAAGTCACCAAGAGGCAGTAGTGTGCCCAACCTAGTCTCTGTATCTTATCTTGGCTCTCCGTATCTAGTTTAACTTCCTTGTGAAAAGAAGTTTGTTCTGTTATTAATTCATCGTAGTCCCTGGCCCAGCAGTGTCTGACTACGCCTTGGAGGAAGAAGCTAGGGAGTATGTGAATTCAGTTCACATAGAAGACACTCCAGTTGACAAGTACAGCATTCCAGAACTTCAACATCAGCAAGACTTCCGGGATGATACTGTAGTGGAAGAAACAATAGAGGAGACACCTTCGTATCAGGGTGCTGTGGATGGTGTGCACGAACCTTCAGCATCTGTGGTGGATGATGAACCCGTGGGAGAACCAGAAAAGAAAACTTATGCGTCTATTGTACGCACCTCTTTCTGTTCTGTTCATCTTCCTTTTTGCTACTCTGCATTCCGTCTTATCCGTTTCTAGAGCATCTCTACACTGTCGTTGGTTGTATTTGTTCTTTTTTGATAATGTTGTTGTATTTGTTCTTCATAGCATATTATGTCGCAAACATATGACCATATTGCTTGTTTGCTGCATGACCTATAGGTTTAAAACATTCCTTATTACATTATTTGTTATCTGCTGCATGTATAATCTGCATCTTATAATATTTTGAATAAATCGCAGTTAAGAGTTGCCAAGGGGCCATTCTCATCAGTTGCTGCTCAGCAACCTGTTGTTAAGAAAGACACAGCTTCAGATTGGAATCATGTGTCAGCACCCAATGCCCAGCAGTCAGACGCAGGGTTGTCATTTGTGCCAGAGGCTACTAATGATAAACATGACGACGGTTTGGAACTTGATGAAGGTGAATTTCTTCGCTTGCTCAGTTTCCGTGATGGGTTCATGCTGACCTTGTTGACATTTGTAGCAAACTTATAAAGATTGTTGTGTGCTTGATATATTGTAGTTTTGAATCTCAGTTCATTTATGTGTACACTAAACAATTACTTTCTGAATTAACAAAATTGGTTCTTGATTTTCTTTGTTCAGGTGAACCTAGATCTGTTTATGTGCGCAACTTGCCATCCGATATTAGTGCCGCAGAAATTGAACAGGAGTTCAGAAACTTTGGTAGAATCAGGCCCGATGGCGTCTTTGTCAGGAACCGAAAAGTGAGTTTATTTTCTTAGTTTTTGGTACTAGATTGATACCATACTTTGTAAATGAACTGAGATTAGGTGTTTTACTCTGTGTAGGACGTAATTGGTGTTTGTTACGCTTTCGTCGAGTTTGAAGACCTTGCAAGTGTTCATAATGCAATAAAGGTTTGTATATGATCTAGATTGCACTTCGTCTATTGCATTTACTTTTTCTTCCTTCCATTATTCAGCATGTGCATTAATCCTGAATATTCTTTAATTGGTTGGTTTGCGACCATATTGACAATATCTGTATGATGTGATTGAAAGAAACCCTAATGTGACTTTCTTTTTGCAGTCATCTCCCATACAATTGGCTGGGAGACAAGTCTACATCGAGGAACGAAGACCAACTCCTGGGGGTATTGGTGCTCGCGGTGGAAGTACGTATTATTATTAGTTTTCTGTTTCTGTCCCATGTTGCTGAATGACTGCCTCTATGCCTACTACGATTAGATGATGGAAGCACCCATTAGATTATAGATGGATACTTCTCTTGTTTGTGTTATGAGTGGTTTATTTATTTCTATATCTGGAGAGACTATTAGAGTGCAAAAAGCCTGTGATAGCATGGCAGAAACTGACTCTCTGTGTCTCTGTCTCTTTTTTGGTTGATTGATTAGGAGGAGGAAGGGGAAGAGGCAGAGGTGGGTACCCCATAACGGATGCCCCAAGGGGCCGCTACGGTGGTGGCGGCCGTGGTTTGGGCAGAGCAGGTACCCAAGA